GTAGTAGAAATCTATAATAATAAATTATATAGCCTATACATCCTTAAGAATATGACACTACTGCTTTCTTTTTATTTCTTATAAAACCGGTCATTTAACCAGTGCATGGTAGATTTAGTGTTGAAAAATCTTACTAAATGGGCTGATGAAATCTGACTCAAATTCTACTGCCATCGTATTTGAATGTCGCATACATATGCATTTACTACTGCTGCTGGGTGCATAAGAATTACCACAGACTGTGATCGACTAAAAATAAGATTTGTCGAACAACGATTCTCATCTAAAAAAATCCCACTGATGAAACGTGATTTGAGTTCTTCAGCCAGATGGATCTAATTTCAGCACCGAATACATATTCACCATGGATGCTAGGTGCGTAAAAATTACCATGGAAATTGTCCTTGCCGAGCTGAAAATAGTAAGATCGGCGCCGCAATTTATTTAACGGTAGGTCCGCCAGACAATTTTCCATAATTTGTCGCTAGCAAGCACCGTACACTTATTCACACTAATTACTCGTTTACAACGTCGCGTTACCCGAGAGCGTACGATACTTACGAATTAATATCGAAATAAAAATAAGAGGCGAACTAACAAAGCCGGAGTGCAACATTTTTTTCCAATGCAATTGCCCTAATTTCTTGCCTCATATCATTCCACGTCCACCGCGTATCAGCGGTGTAATTATGATAAATTGATCGTAAACGTATCAATCCTGATTATCACCAGCGACGCACGAAGAGTCTGATTTCAAAGAACCACCGCGGTGGCATATCGCGCTACATTACTTTTAAGTGATTAAAGCACATATACCGGCAGAAATCACATTTAACCTGGTTCTCCCGTAAAGAAACAAGCGAGCAACCCCTTTTCCCTGCCGTACATACAATTGCCCAGGGATCGTCATGAGAAATCATTAAAAATTCGTTGAGCTCGATTACTTCCGAGGTACGACTTCGAAGAAAGTGCCGTCGACCCGTCAATTAAGGAGAAATCCCAAAGGAAAAAGAGTTAATTAAAAAATGCTAGGGTAAGACGACGATAGAATCCTGACGATCTGCGTTTGGAAATATTCGAACGATCGATCGGAAGTCGCGGCGGTATGCGCGCGTGGATGCCTGATAGGAATTCGCCCTCGAAAAGTGGCGTGGAATCGAAGACCGGTAGTAGGTGGCTGGAAGGAACACAGGCGGTGAACATGGCGTCGGGTTGTGCGCGCGTCGATCGACATCGTGGTCCAGGGTCGTGCATGCCCGCTTTCTCCGTTTTATGGACCAATCGCGCCGCGACCTGGGTGAGAAAATCAATAGACGTAGAAGCCGGAGGATGACGTCAGTCTGCAACCTGACGATCGACCGATGCGACGACGCGGGCGGCGCCGGCCAATTTCTACAGGAGCAATCAATAAATAAAGATATCCACGACGTCGGCATTTACCGTCTGCATAACTCTTCATTCCAATTTTACGGGAATATCCTGCCATTACTCGGTAGGAATCGAATTTGTTTCGCAATTGCACCCCCTATTCTAGAAAGGCTCTCTGTAACCAACCTCGAAGGCGCCGATGCCCGTGCGACGGGGCGGCTCTCGCTGTTTCAAGCCGGCGGTATTATCGGAAGAAATCTTATTAGTTCATCCAACTTATTAGACTTACCAACAAAAGGTTCATCCCGTGTTAAGGAATAAGTGCCTAAAGATGCACTGTTCGTTTCATACGGTACTTGAATATCTTTTCACAAGAATAAGGATAATTGACTTCATATTATAGCGTTCGCGTTTTAATTAAATTCGAAGCCTTGAGTCGTTCGGAAATTGACTGAACTGACGAAATTACTTTTAGTCAGGGTGGCTTATATGAGCAATACCGTTGACGTACGTCTATATTCTATGAGGAACCGTTCTGGGAACGTGACTGCGACATCCGGTCTCCGTCGTAAAATTCTTTCAAACTTTATGACTATCAGCTAAACATTATCTGAATTTGAATTTGTACCAGGAACATTTTTGCGAAGAGAATAACTGACGTTTTATATGTACAACGTAAAACGTTGCATTCAGTTATTATTATTAAAATCATATTTTCTGGAACATATTTTGACGCGTCCATCCATGCAGATTTCTCATTTCGTAATACGAGATTTATATCGACTGTTCTATGTATTTTTGAATATTATTTATGTATAATAGATGCATTTTCGTATGTGAACATTTTGTGTGTATGCATAAAAACCCGGAGTCTAGTTATAATTGAAGCGTTGAATCTACGCGTTCCGTTTTAAATGCTAAATATTATAATTTTATGCGCCACTAATTATGAAATTAATTAAACGTTGTTAGCATTTGTAATAGGAACGTTGTTTAATACGTGTAAATAATTTGCTACGTACTGAAATCTGGTTTAATAACACTTTAATTAAAGTTTGATGAAATAGATATAATTGCGGACGCTAGCGTAAACGCATAATATTGATAGAAAATATCAGCGAACGATTTTGTGTCCGGCTTAATGAAAACAATTGCTTATCGATTCAGGACGTTAATGTTTCATTAGCCTCATTCAGCTATGGTTCGACGAGAAGCAGAAAGATCAATGCCAAATATTTCTTTACTCTCCTTGTACAATTTATAACATCGAGATTTTTCTTCCTCGAGTTCATCCGTGAATTTTGATCATTTCTAAACTCACGGCGTTCGTATTTCATTGCACGGCGACGAATATTTTATTAACGCGTTCGTAACGAACTTAATTCGGCACAAAGGTTGAATTTATGCAACGCAATCTTTTCAGCATCAACCTTCCGTGAAGTTGCACCTGCATACTCTAATTTCAAAAGGAAAAAACGAACCCTGGAAGCGTGTTGTAGTTTCCTCGTAACGATCCGCGTACTCCGTAAGTGTTAGTGCGAAAATACACGATCGGGCGACGTTCGCGTTTTGCCAGTATATAAAAAAAAAGGAAGCCTGCAGCACAGGAGCAAGTCGATTCGACGCGCGTTGAGTAGGAAGGGTGAAGGCGCCACCTTCGATCGTAATTAAAAACTTTTCCTAATGCACAAACATAAATAGTGAATGGTTCAAAACCCCCAGATTAATTGATTTCGAGGATTCACGTGCTACATGTCATAAAATTTTTATGCAAACACGAGGACCCTTAACAAATAGACGATCATCTTCTGTTTCGAATAACTCCACAGAAATGGATGAAAAATATCACAGACGAAAACATTAATTCGAATGTGGAAGTGCAGAGTTACTTACATTTTCTAGAATACCAAGTCTCGTCCTAAATGCAGTTATTAAAAATTGCTAAGCCTCGACGAGTGTTCTCGCACAATTTCAATATTGAACGAGTTAACAGCGGAACATTTTATAAAGTGAGAAAAATACGATACGCGGGAATCGAGAAAAATCGGTGCCTGACTAAGAGCGTACACATCTACTGTACACTCCAGGCAGAGTAGATGACACAGAGGGAATTAATTCGCGGCGTAGACAATGTCAGGGGTTCGCGATACGTTGCATGACGCATCGCGTACGAACCACCGACAGCTACTACAATAGCGGCTGGTTTCCGACGTTTATAACGAACGTGCTATTAGCGCGAGTGCGTTAAAGATTCACAATAATGCCTTTGACTCACCAGATACGTAGGCAGTGACGTGAAAACAGCTGAGATCCTCCGGCCATACTGGTTCAGGTTCCGCGATGTTCCCCCAAGACGACGTGTCGACGCGTCGCAACGCGCGAGGGCAATTTTACTTGATCCGATCGATTACCAAACACGCCGGCAGCCACGGCTCTTTTCCTTCTTTCTCGGCGTTCGGTGCAGCCTGTCAAAACTATGCGGTATTGACGTTTTTCAATCTGTATTGAGTCTGTTTCCTTTGTCAATACATAATAAATATTTGTACTACTGCCTCGCGGAACGGTCTAATACTTTCAGTCCACCGTTCACCGCGAAAACGAATCTCATCGCGATATTGTTCTTATCGATACACGATAATTCGAATCGCACGTGGCTCCTTACGCGGGAACATTTTCATATTCAATTTCCACACTGAATTAAACCGCGTTATGCATCTGACATTATAAAAGAATAGTGAATACTCGTTTCAACTCGTATTGCTTTATCGTTTATTATACGTGTAGATTACATACGAAACGTGTATACAAAATCACGTCTTCTCGAGACGGATGAAACAATGGAAAGTATAAATTAAATCTTAGAAAAAATTCATACTAGATAGAAATCAGCTTATACAGGCTATCGCACTCTTAATAACCGGGTTTAACAACCGGCAGCGGCCTTGAAGCGGTTGCTAACATCTTTCCAATTAATGATGTCAAAGATAGCCTTCACGTAATCGGGTCGAACGTTCTTATATTGCAAATAGTAAGCGTGTTCCCAAACGTCGATTCCAAGGAGCGGCACCAAGCCGGTGGTAGCTTGCAGGGGATCTTGATTAGCACAAGTAGCTATCCTTAATGATTTCGATTTCGGGCAATAGCCGAGCCAGCCCCAACCAGAGCCTTGGATCGCAACCGTGCTCTCGGACAATTGTTTCTTCATTTGTTCCAAGCTGCCGAAGTCCTCCTCAATCTGCTTAACGAGCGCGGCTGTAGCAAAAATGATTTATTAACGTCTTCGCACGAGAATTGATCATGTTCTGCGTACCATCTGGTTTGCAACCGCTCGGCGAGAGATTGCACCAGAAGATCGAGTGATTTAGGTGACCGCCTCCGTTGAATTTAATAGCTGGCCCCAAAGCGATCTGTGTATTAACGTCACCCTTGGCGGCGGCTTCTTTCAATTTCTCCTCGGCCACGTTTAGATTGTTCACGTAAGTCGCATGATGCTTCGAATGATGAAGCTGCATAATCTCAGCGGAGATAATCGGCTCCAATGCCTTGTAGTCATAAGGCAATTCGGGAAGGGTGTGCTTCGCCCTCGTGAATGTGTCTTTGCTAAAAATGGAAACATTGACAACTGATTGTCTGGTGCAAAAGTTCACTTACTTAGATTGGATCCCATTCATATTTCATAAATAAAATTAATTTTTATTTTATCGATAATACGAACTATCTTAATTCCTATCTCATTTATACTTCGTTTTTTTTGTACCTTGCGTCTAAAATGTGATTAATCGTTGCGTTATTTTGGCTTTCGAATACACTGATATTCAAATGTCAAATTGACAAGGTGCTTATCTAATATATATCTACATGTCAAAGGTCAGACTAAATTTATATTGATTCATTATACATATTTTTATTTCACAAATTTTAAATATTCACTTGGAATGGCTACACTTCTGAAATTCCGTTTTTCATTATTATTTATGACAGACGTCAAAATATGAATTACTCAATTTACGTTCAATAAATAATTGGCATACAATTTAGAATATCTCTGAATGTATGTATAACTGGACTATATTATTAACATTGATTATTAATAACGAATGGATCGAATTATGTATATATGTTAAGAAGAAGGAGTCCATGTGATTTCTATTTTTTTAATAGTTCCTATAAATCTATTCCAACAGCTGTAAATATCAATTCTTCGTACGACGCGAATATACGATAATTGCAATGTTTTAAAGTAACAAAAGTAGCGTTTGTAGCATTATATGCTAGGTTAGAAATTATATAATATCAACTGTAAAACTGAATTTAAATGAAAAATATGAGAAACTTACATTGCGTTGGAGAACAAGACACGTTTCGCTGCGAACATTGTCAAAATGATAGAGGATCAAGCCGCCCCTTTGAATCGGTTCCACGAAAACACAGAAGTACGAGTTAGTACGAGTACGAACGTCGGCCGCGAACTTTATCGTACGGCTGCGAATACCTTAATGGCAAAGTATGCCGGAAAATGGCTCGACTACTCTGACTACCAACCTACACTAATATCAATTATATTACGTCACAATTTGATCTTCTTCCATTTGGTAAAACCAGAGATATGAAACAGTTTTTCCTCAAGGGGATTTCCGTAACAATGCCCGCTTCAGTGATCTCATAACTCACGAGGAAAACAATTTGTAAAGAATACATGTTTGCTTTATTACTTTGAGGAAAATTGCACAATTTATAATTCCACATTGTTTAATAGCGTTCTCTCTCTCTCAGTGATAAGAAACTTAATTTCTCTATATATGTTACGTTTGTACGTACTTGGAAGAGAGTAATGGGTAAAAGAAATCTCATGTTCCATACGTATAGGTATGCCGTTCGTTATTGTCATAAATAATCGAAGATATGTATGTGCCAGGAAATAGTTTAATTGCTTAAGTAATTACGTACACACTATACAACGATAATAATCGATTCTTAAGTAGAAAATATATTTTAATTGAATTATGCATAAATCATATGTCCTCCTCACTTCGTAAGGGTGAAAACGAAACTGAACATTATAAAGAGTAAAATTGGAATTGAAGACTTGGATTCCCTAAGAAAAATAGTAAAAAACGATGTTTCTCGAATACAAGAAGGATTGTATAAAATAGCAGTATAAATATTTTGTACATCTGTTCCTGAAAAAAAGAAAGAAAATAAGAAATACAATTTTTGCCGTTCCGTGATTCCCAAGCTCAGTCTGCGGTGTTTTTTTTTTTACTGAAATTAATATCGTTTTGTATTTCATATATAATTTACAGATATTTAATAAATCTAACAAATAGATTTCAGGTTTATTATACAATTAAAAGCACATTCCTCACGTATCAATAACGAATGTCGATTCGTCTCGCGATGAAAAACCAATACGTACATACAAATTATTGCACACATGATCGTGTATAAATCTAAACGTATGTGCGTCGCAGTGTACCATTATCGTGTATTAACATTTGTGTATTTACATAATAGAAAAGGGATAGCCCTAACTATTATTACTCCATTGTTATTTACGATCATTGTGATTGCTTGAGAAGATCTAATGAGATGAGCTACTATCGGTGTCTCAACGAATTTACAAAAAGCCATTTAGAAATGTTCGAAGCACTCGTCTGTTACAATGAATATATATATATGAATTTTGTTATAATGAATAATTATTAAGAAAATTTCACGTGGTTTACTCGCGAGAAAGAAACGTTCCAACTATCTACCCTTTTATTCCGCGTTACTCTGTATACACATATTCGTACGTAATCAAATGTCGTTTTCATGGCATTAACGTGACTCGAAAAACACCCGAATTGAAATTCGTATTTACAAGTACGTTTGAGAAACACGCCGATTCATAGAAAATAATATATACCGATTATCAAATGAACCAATATGAAATTAAAATTGATTTCAACTTACATTTCGCAGCAAGTCACGCTAAGCGTTTTCGATCATATGTAACAAGCGTTATATATATAAAATCGTCCTAGAAAACCTGTTCATTCAGGATCGCTTTGTAACGTTTCACCATTAGTTAAAACTAACGCGTCGTCATCGGCTTCATTATAATCGAGAGAAAGGATGCTCTCCCGCCTCTTCTTCTTGTGTGTCCTTTCATCGTCACTACCTGCTGCACTTTTTTCCCTTTTGGTCCTATCCCTACCCCTAGTTATTCTAGATAGCACCTCTTCCCCGTTAGTTTTACTGTTACTCCTATTATGACTTTTGCTTCGCAATATCCTTTTGGTATTACGACTCTCTTCCTGTTCCTCGTCCCTATCACTTAATTCCTCGTTCTCAACTTTGATAATCAAAGCGGCCGAGTCACTCGAGCTTTCGTCATTATGATCCGCTTGATTAGGTTTCCGTTCAATCCGTTCTGTTCGTTCGGAACCCGATAATTCACACTGGGGGGACGACAACGGTGGAGTCCTAGCACCTTTGCACACATCACTATCTTCTATAGACTTCGAAGTCTTCATTTCCGGCATGGAACTCTCTTCCGACTCCTCCTTCTTAATCGGGGGTGTATGCGGAGACAGACCGTTCGTCAAATTATTTTCACTCGAATTCGCTTTCAGCGCTGCGTTCTCTTGTTGCAGCAACGTGACCGACTCGCGTGCTTTGCGAAGCTCCTGTTGCAAGAAATAAATTGTGCTCTGCATCCCTTCAACGTCCTCGTCCAAATCTTGCAGGAATTCGTCCAATTCTGCAACAGAAGCATAAAAAAAATGCATGTAGATTTAGTGTCAAAGCTGTTAGTTTGACATACAAGAGGGAGAGCAATACCTGATTGTGATTTTTTCATTTCTTCACTGAAACTTCTTTGTAGGGCGAGATCTCCCTCCAACTTCGCAATTCGTCCGCTAGCTATCATTCGGCCCAGGTCTTCGTTCTCTTGATACAGCAACCTACATTTTGCCATTAATCTCTTACCGGTGTTGCTAAAAATAAAAACGGTGTAAAAACATGCTTAAAATTCTTTTATTTAATATCGTAAATCAATACCTACCTGTCGGGTGTAAATTTCCACGCGCTGAGCTCATTTTGAGTATCTTCCAATTTAGCTTTAGTCGTGACAAGTTCTTGCCGTAATTTCTGAATCAAAATATTAACAGCTGGATCTAACAAAGCAGATCTTAATGCCGCGGCGGACGGAGCGTGAGCAGCTTTCATTTCAGCAATCTGATTCTAAATAAATACAGATTACACATAGCACCGTTTCAATCTCTGCTTTGATTGTCTTATGAAAGAAGATACAGCAGAATCTACATACAATATATTCTTGTAACTCTTGTTCTTTCGAAGCAAGCCTCCTGACTAAAATCTTCTCTCTATGAGATGCTTCTGCATGTTGCTGCCTGTATTTGCTTTCAGACTCTCTCAACGAGGATAGTTCACCTATAAAAAAAATTGACACCGTTCCCTCTTTTAATTAGAACTTCAATTTCTGAAGCTATCTATGTGTTTCTTTTATTTGTTTCACGTGTCATAATTATTCGAGACGCTACCGCGTCCCTTGATCAATAAGTACCTCCTTTTACTTCACGATTTATAAGGTCAAATTTCAAGAAACAAAATTTGTTTTCATACACAGATTTTTCTGAGATAATCTCTGTGCATCTATTTTCAATTATTACATCCATACAAATCATTCTGAGACACATAGAGGGCTTGAAACCTTAAAATACATATACATACAATACAATGGCACAGAATACTCTGTACATATCTTTCTCTCCCTTCCTTTTAAACAATTGATAACTGTATATTTTTGGTGAAATAAAGCATAGTGGTGAGAAATCTACTACATAACGTTTTACCCTAAGTGCACATAAATAAAATATGTTCTTTTTTTCTGTATGTATGTACGTGACATTGACTGCCTGACAATTGACATTTTTTTTTAATTAGCTCATACTTTGAGTTTGGAGTCGTTGCATCGTGCCATTTGTGAGATTCTCTGTGCTTCCACCGAGACCAACAGTAGACGTTAGACTTGTCTTCCATAAGAATCGACAGACTACATGTAGCCACAGGCGTCGTCACAAGATGACCTCCCGGCCTCATTCGATTGGGTTCGTAATCATTTTCAGGTCGGTACTTGGACACGAGGGAGTTCCGGTGCAGGTACAATTGCATGCATGAATCGTGTTCGTAACGGGACTAGACGGGAGCGGATGTCTAGGGACGTGATCAAAATTGTTCAATTTCATCAGATATATAAATCTAAATATAAGACGATATTAAAGATATGTAGATACGGACAAAGAGACTGTTAGGGTTGGATAAAGCAGCTGGAATTTCAGATTGTAACTGCATCAATTAAAGGTATTCGTACTTCACCGAGACTTAGGTTCACGCACCGCTGGCACAGTGTTTTGTGGGGCCAAAGATGAGATAGGGCCTCTCTGTTTTTACTCTTCCGAGCGGTATATTCAGAGCCAGCAAGGATGTTGTATCTGAATCAATCCTCGGAAAGTTGGAAACTCGATATCCAATGTACACAAACACACGTTCACTGGCCTGTTTCTAGCGGCGCGGCCCTACTACACCGTTAGAATGATAGGTGGTACACTGTCACGTCACTTTAATAGGGCTTATGTCAAAAGCAAGCTGTGTGCGTTTATTACAATGAGATTAATGATTCATAATGAACACATTTTTCGAGGAAACCTTGCCATATTCTCTTCTTGTCACACAATATCACTTGTTTATTCTTTCGATATGCACTTTGCCTGCGGCATTAAGTGATTTTTTTTTAAATATCGATAATACTGACGATGGAATTATGCATCGTTCGCATAATGTAATTATCAGATTCTCGGCGTACTTATGTGGTGTACCGTCACATCACTTTAGCTCACCGACAAAAATTTCAAACACTGTACATACTGGCGTTAATTCGATTGCCCGCACTACACATCACAAATGTAGTTTGTTTCTCTCGTTTCCGAAATATTACAATATTACTATCACTAGCCTTTACCCATTATCGTCTATCGTATCGAATTCTATCCAGTACTCCGGATAGATCGATCTTTCTACAATTCCAGTAGACGTGATAAAACGCTATTCGTAAGAGAATTTGCCCTATCTTATTTAGGTACGAAAAAAGTCAGCGATACTTATAAGAAACTTAGCATTATCATTACATCCTAAACACAGTAAACTAATATAATATGCCCTGATCTTAGTGTCCCTAGAAGAGTCTTGTCTTTTGTTTCATACGAAAGACCGTTGTGTTCTGGCATTCATAAATTCGCTTTAAGAAATGTGGTGAGTGAGGTGGTCTCACTCAAGTGATCTCAGTACCTTCCTGGGCTGCCGCCTGGGCCTCTAGACACTCCACATATAAGTCCTGTTCATGCCACTTGGCTGCTAGCTCCTCCTTTGTCATGCTGTCCAGTTGCTGTTCAGTCAGCTTCAACCGCCGCGGCTGCCTAGGAGAATGCGGACTGCTCGGCTTCCCCGCAGCACCATTGCTTTGCGGGCTCCTCGGCGAAGATGGTCCAGCTGACTTTGCGTCGTTGCTCTCCTCGGCCATGTTATTAAAACAATGCTTTACGCCCTACGTGAAATTCTGATGGCTCTGCCTCTTCTTTAGCTGTTCAATTGCAACAAGTGCGTCGATATGTTGCCAGTGCCAGCACACATCTGCCTGAAAGAACGGAATACAAATATATTAAAAACGTATTATTACCGATTAACTTAATATTAGCGAGACATTTTTCGGTATTTTTTTCGCGCGGTATCGAGACAATTCAGGTTATACGTTCGTGGTATATCTTACTGTAGGCACGAACTTGGAATTAATCTAATAGCATCTAAATATTTGCTGTGAGAGCTTGATTGGAAACAGACGAATGCGAAGTAAGTAGCTATTGTTAGAACCGATGTGTGAGTCGACTCCATCTCCATACGTACATATAATTCTTCTACACATGTTATTTACAAGCAGCCACTTTTCATAAACGTTCGATCCACTTGTTGTTACGTATCGGAGTGAAATTCGTTTTCGGACGTGAGCACTGGCACCCGGCTTTTAGGGCATGGAGCGTGATCGACTAAAGGTCACGTGGCGCGTTTAATGTTTTATTGCGACACGCAGAGTTAGGGAATGTAAGATCCAGTTATCTATAGTTGAAGGGAACATTGACGCCATTATGTCGACATGTCTGCCATGGACGAGAATTTCGCGGTATATAAAGAGACATGATCTTTCGACTCGTTTGATCCTCGAATGTTACCTAAACCATTTGCGCGTACGATTTGGAAGATGAATTTAAAGAATGCGTGCAAACGCGGCAACGTAAGAGTATCTGTCCAGATGGTTAATTTCATCTTATCGTTACGACAGTTTCCTGACACAAAACGTTGACGACTTTCTATCGCATAGCTGAACATAGCAACGCTTCCGTTTCGTTTACGTACATACCTGATCTAACGGTACGCCTGCCGTCCCATTGAAAATTGCTTGTATATCCAGTATTCGGTATAACGTGAAACGATGAAACACGACACCATGTATGTACGTGTACGCACGCACACGTAGGTATACGTGCGTATACAAATGTAACTTCGTAGTCCCTCGTAGACAAGTAGAAGTGTTCGTTAGCAGGTTTCACGATTGATCAATCGGCAAAAAAAAATAAATATGTTACACACATAGAGTTCGCCCCAACGTCCCGCGCATTCCAGAGGCAACGTCAATACGCGCACATGATACACAGACGTGTCTCTCGCTACCCTACGAAAACCATCCCACCACGGGCTGACATGCTAATGCAAACTAATCATGGGCAATGATTACTCTCGACTCCCGACTCCCGACCTCGCTCTCGCGTGCAGAATGGCTAAAGAAACGAATGGCAGCGCATGCTCCGATCGCGATATCGTCCAACTACGCTGACACAGAAATGCTTTTCAAATAAACAGAATGTAGAAAGTGGAGGGACGAAAAATGAGCTAGGAGGCTCGTAGTCTCGTAGAATCGTTACCAATCACGCTCCTCGAATGTTCCTCGCACTTATCGGCAATTTCATTAATGCACAATTCTAATCCAATGCTACATGAGGATTACGTATACATATACTTCAAATGTCATATTCACAAACTTCTGCATTTACTTATTCTTATTATTATTATTTACTTGCACGTAGATCATCGTCAAGTTCTAACTGATCTACATAGAACAATTTAAGATGGCGCATTATGACCGTCACTTTCAAAATGCGCCTAGCGATGGTACAAAAAAATTGCATGCAAATCGATTTTCACTTGGGTTATTCCTAAACGATGTGCATGTATTTTCCTCGAATTGTTACAGCAGGTTTATTTACATACTCTAGTAGTAAAATATGTTCGAATCTTCGTTTAAAATTATTTAAATATTGAAATTAAAATACTGTCTACCAGTTAAATAATATTGATAAGGAATATTCATTCTTTCTAGAGAATGACGTCCTTCGGTTTCGCCGTGCTTCCAGTATTTATCTTTGACTGTACAGAATTCTGATTGATAGGTATCGCTTTCGAGATTTTCGTGGGTTGTTTTAACAATGACAAGCGATTGTTTGTGAACTCCGGTTTCGGAGAGTAGACGGTTTGTTGTGAAGGAGATGGGACTTTCTTTGTTGATATTCTAAAATGAAGAGTACATTAAATAAGCCCTTGGTTCACGTAACAATTACTACTCACTGGCTCTTTTATTACCATGTAATGATAAGCCAGTGAGTAGAAATTGGGACGTTGTAAAGCAAAAGGATCAAACCTGAGGTTTGTATCGACCATAAGATTTGGTCTACTTGTGCTGCGTCTTGCAGATAATTTCTGCCCTGAAGATTTCAGCGATGTGGTCGAATTCGTAGGCGAAGGACTATACAAGCTATTGCGGCGAGGTTGCAAGCAGGCTTGTGGAAGTTTCACGCTTAATCGCGTCGTTGATTTAGAACGCGTCAGATCAGTCTTAGGTTGATTAGTTGGCGTTACGTTTCCCGAAGCTTTTCTCGTTTGCTCGGCTATTAAGTGGCTTATTTTCGATACCGGTTTGATGTTCGAGATCGTGCCCGATCGAGTTGGTTTGTAAGGACCGACGAGCACAGTCGGCGACACGTTCGCTGGCGCCGATTTTACAGACGCATTGTCGTTGTCTAACGTGATAACAAATTCGTCAATACCTCGCTAAATGTCATACTTCGAAACGTTTACCTTGATTAGGCGATAAGTCATGTGTCATTCGACGTTCGAGCATTGGTTTCTTCACGACCAGCATTTGAAGAGCCTTCTCTAAATTTTTCTGAGCGCCGACAATGTAATCAGCCACGTTTGCAGGATCTTCGTTTTCATGCAAGTATATTTGTCCTATAGAAGTGTACAATTCCAGGACAGGAGAACTCGTGACTTTCGGCGGTGATGGTCGTGGCTCTGTGTCGATTTCGATGTCCCAAGTTTTTTGACGCTTAAAGGTAGGTGTGTTCGATGGTACAGGAGACACGGCGCAGTTTATAGACGAATTTGAATTCGTTCTCGCACTTTGAGTTTCAAGCAAATCCTACCGCATGAATAAAAATAATAGATGAGAGACGTAAATTTGAATGTTAAAAAAGAACGAGTACTCACTTTCACAATGTTGTTAGTTGTATGAAGACGTATTTCCGGTTGCGTGTGACTTCGAATCATTGCGATATCTTTTTTCGAGGTATTAAGTCTATTGGACAGATTGTTCAAAGAGTTATTTAAGTTATTCTCTATATTACGATTCACGTCTGGTTCGCATGTAATTGTGTCAAATAATCTGTACGAGACATCGCGTAAGACCCGAGTAACGTCCTTTGACAAACGAGGCAAGAGATTGCTACCGGTCTCTTCTACCTTCTGCACGATATTGTTATCCTAGAAACGTGAATTTACTTTTAGAGGATTCCTTAATAATATATATATTTGTAAAGCAGTTTCACGCACAATATTGGCAGTGGGTCCGGTGCCACTGACGCTCCAAAAGGATGCCTCTTTGACGTGGTCAGGCTTAGGACACTGGCACGTGATTTCTCCTAATTCTAAAACCGCTTTCATGTTAGAAGCATCGCATTCGATTGCAATTTTCAGCGTTCCTTTCTGTTCCAACGCGTCGCTATTAATTTCATTCTTGTTTGGAACAAGTGGGTCATTGTGCTTCTCGAACGAGACCAGTTTGAAACCGATCGCTTGCAAGAAACTCGCCAGGATCGGCACGTCCAACTTTGCCGGACGTTGAACGTCGCGCATTTCTTCATCCCCGTGCGCGTTTATCCATTTGAGCACCCACTGATAAAACTTTCGCTGCGCGTTCGCTTGAAAAGCGTTTTGATTACGCGTACTAACATCCATCGCAATTACTGAAGAACACCGTACGAAAGGGACACGAACGAACTGTCGACTTTATGTTCGAAATTTTTTTTCCGGTAACCGAAATTATTTCATATTCAACGTGTACATAACAATGTTTTCGATTGGCTCGATTGTCGACATTCGAAATAGAAAAAAAATAGAACGTTAAATCTTTAAAATGGACACCGTTCTATTTTCTCATCTGTACGTTTACTTTTCTTATAGAAAATTTAAATTAATCTTCAATTAGATTTTCCTAGAATCAAAGAGAATATATTTTAATAGATAAAATATGTTTCCTGTCATAGCATTTGTTTTGATATCCAGTAGAAATCTTAAGTAATAATTTGTGTTACTCCTGCTGTAATTCTTTTTGGCTGGATTTATATATAGTCGCTTCTATTCAAGCTCTTTTAAGTACTTTTTAGTATGTATACGAAATAAAAGTTGCATTCTTCTCGTGGAGATTTAACCATTGTATGAATAATATAAATTGTGTATGTTAATGTATGTAATCTATAAAATACTTTCGTACATTGGGAATTCTTAGGTTAAGGTCTAAGAATAAATAAGCCGCACGGAAAATTAATTTTCTTGGTAATTTATTGATAGACTGCCAATTTGATGAGATTTCTATGAAATTCGTTTATAACTGCTTGTATGAAATTATTCAGAATATCAAAAGCTGCATGTTTAAATATTTAAGATGTTGCATAAAAATCCGCGGTCTATTTGTTAAAAATCGTCTTGAGCGTAAGCTTGTATCTTTTACATTTCAGAGTTATTAAATAACTGCTTTAGGAATGTTAGGAATACGAACAATTACTGTAATAGGTGCTGCTGTATCTTTAAAGCTATTACCACAAACTGTTCTTTTACATAAATACAGGCAATTTCGAGCCAGATATGGGTGAGTGTAGAAGAATCAGAAAGAAAAATGATAAGAAGTCGTTTATTTAAGCTTCCATTAATTTTGTAAAACTCTGAAAACAGTTATGATAGCAACGAAGTGCCAGTTCAGGAGGATATTAAAGAGAGATTTGAGCAAGTACTGGATGACATGTCTCTACCTCAAGATAAAAGAGAAAAGATTCAACTCTTTAATGTTTACGACATAGACACATTCCACGCCGGAGCATTTTGGTCAAAGTACGGTGGTTTAATTGGGGTCCCAGCGAACTTTGAGTACACGGATCCTGAAAATGTAACTGACCGAACGATATCCTTCCAAAATGTACAATACGTTTATGACATAGACGCTGGGAGACAGTTTCGAACGTCTTTGGTCCTCTCGGAGAACGCACAGAAATTTGCAATAGCCCGGAAGGTATTTGCGCTTTCGGAGTATGATTTGGTTTTCAAGGCAATGAACATATTTACAGACGTTTGGATCGGGCTAACGGCTTACAGTATTATTAGCAAGCGATCTAAGACTATTAAAAAAGAAAAACATCTAAAGTTCATTTTGATGGGAGTCATTGCCGTCGCGGTCTATGTCATGTGGCTCTTTTCAAGGGATGCTTTGGACGATCAGAGAGAAGTTTCAATCAATAAAAAGATAATTGAACTTGGTCCCAAGTACGTCGAAGGCGGTGTCGAATATTATGAGAAGTTGTCGAGCAGGAACAAAGCTCTGAGAATTCTTTTAGGACGTAAAGGCACATATCTATTTAAAAATAATGGTAACGAAACCTCTTGGTTCCATAAAAAACGATCGACAATTACGAATCAAATAGAATTCTTTAACATAAAATTGCGAAGTCTCCAAGTAGCGTGAATCCTGTGAAACTGAAACGATGATAATAAAATTGTTAATAGATTCACTCTCAGTGGTATCTTCTTTTTACGTTTCTTTACCGATTTCATTTATTGTTACATGTTAATTACATAATTTATATACATGTTAAAAGTACATATTGTTTCTAAAGACATTCACCTTTATTTTAAATTAAACCGTCTATGTACCTGTGAAATTTCTGCAGTTAAATAAAAAATTGTAGGATAACACAGATATTCACGGCTTAATAGCGACTCTTGAACGATAACTGTGTATTCTAATAATGAATTTATAAATGGTTATAAAAGTTAATAAGAACGTGGCATGCTTACGGATGAATAGTTAGTATTCGTAATAGAATATATTTCGTATTTTTATATACTACAAAGCACAAGGTAATCGCATTTAACGTTGCTTCTATCTGTAAATTGTGCAAAATTTTTTACAATACGTACTTTCTACATATCATGTAATCATACTCCTTGCAGAATACAATGTTCACTTTACGCTCAGCAAATAAATACAGTATACTTACAATCTAATATACAAAAGTACTTACACAATTTTTAAATATACAATATTTTCGACTATGTGAGACCTAAAGAACCGAGCTGAAACATTAAAAGATTCAGGTTTGAAGTCCAGATATTTTTGACAAGTGCAAATCTAGGAGGAACCGTGCTATATTCAAGAGTATGTAGCATTTGTTGGAATTCATGTTCTGATGAACGTATTTATTTTGATACTAGATGCTCTTGAAATTCGGTAAAAATTTGTAAAATCTTGTTACCAGTGTCAATTTATCCTCTTCTTTTTTGAGTATTTTCGCAGTTTGTTCTTGGTCGAATTTGACGACTGCAGCGATTACTCTAGCAAGCACCATAGTTTCCCTTCCCATCATGTATTCGAATAAGATGTTCCTAAGGTATTCGATCTCCGTTGAATCCTCCAACGTGTCGTGTCTCAGTTTGACTAATTTGCGGAGTTCAGCCAGCTCCCGCCTCTGAGCTGTTAACGTTTGTTGGAGCGTATGGAAAGAACCAGTGTTCGATTGTACAGCAGCCATCGCCACTCGCGAAGTGCTTTCCAACTCCTAATTAAAATTAGAGTTTCAATTACTTCTAATATCCAGCATAAATGATTTCCATTTGATTTACACAATTGCGAAACGGTATAATAAAATAAGACACAGCAAACAAAGTTTACCTGATTAGCTAAATCAGTTTGTACATCAGGCTGGAAAAAACATAAATGAAATTATAAAAAATGAAAAAAATAATAATTGATAACAGAAATAAAACTTAGAACGTATAACATGAAGTATAATGAAATAGCGTGAATTATGACAATTGTATTAACCAACCCTTCTCTCATTTCGCCATTCTCTCGTCAATTCATTGATCTCTTCCTCGTGTTTCGCTTCCAGCTTATCAGTTTTCTGTTGTATAATAGATTTCCATTTCTTCTCAATTTCCCTCATTTCGTCCGTGTGTTCCTTTTTTATTAACGTAATTTTCTCCACCAGCTGATTTATATCCTTTGACTTCTGTGACATCAAATTCTTATTTTCTAAGATCAGATTCTCGATTTGTTCGGACTTTGCTGTCAATTCTATTTGGAAATCTTTTAATTGCTCTTTATACTGTTGGATAAGATTCGACTCGTAGTTTTGCTGACGATCTAAACGGAAATATAATAGTTAGTATTTCGTAACAAGAAATATTTCTAAATTTTATTACTTCCTTAATTACCAAATCGTTTTTCCAATGCAGCATGCAACTCTTCTTCTTTATCATGTAACTGAGCTTGGAACTCCTTCACCAATTGTTTCAATCTCATACTTTGTTCCTCTTCGTTCGTTTTTAATTCGTCTTTCAGTTTATCTGCCTCACTCTTCAATTTATTATTAAGAATCTGCATTTGTAATTCCTTTGCTTGGAATGTAATTAACGCTTCATCTAACTGCGCTTCTAACTTCTTATTTTCTTCCTCTAAATTATCACCCTTTGTAATCAAAGATTCATTTACAACTTTATTACTATTTACATTTTGTATTTCATTTCTTAGCGCAGCATTGGAGCCTGTAAGAACTTCTATTTCCTCCTGTAATTTTGTAACTGTTTCTTGCAAATGGTCAACAGTCGACGGTTCTCTTTCTACGTCCTCGTCTATCGTTAAAGATTTTAATCTTTCTATTTCTATTAATAATTCCATATTCCGAGTATCTAACAATTTTAATTCCGCGACCTTTTCATCTACTGTATGTTTTAATTCCTCGACCTCCTTAGTTAGTCTCTCCTTTTCTATGTTTTCATGTTCCAGTTGAGATGATAGTTCTGTATTGGCGGCACTTAGTTTATCCAGTTCATTCTTCAATTCAGTATATTTAATGTCTATTTGTTCTAAATCGGAAATCTTAGATTCTAAATTATTCACATAAGATTGCAGCTTGGTATTTACATTTTCTAACTCCGTAATTTTGTTTTTTAAAGATAAGTGTTCGGTGATCAGTTCGTTATTTTGTGACTTCACTTTTTCTAGATGAACGTTTACCTCGTTCAAGGAACTTATTTCTAATTTTAAGTTATTCGCTTCTTCCTCAACAGCTTTTAGCCTTGCAATTTCATTGTTCAAAACTTCCAGATTGCTTACGAATTCTTTATTCTTCTCATCTACGTTTTTATAATTTTCTAAAGTTAAATTTAATTTGTTTACTTCGTTTCGCAAGTCCTTGTTTTCTTTTGAAAGATGCTCCTCAGTCCTTTCTGCTTCTTTCCTATACGAACTCAATTCTTCTAATTGAGAATTCAGTTTCTGACTGCTCGATTGTAATTCTGCATACAACGATGTAATTTGAGTGTTTAGATGATCTATACTTTCGTTTTGTTCATTCACACGAATTTCGTATGATTCAATTTCTTTATTTAATCGCGTATTTTCAGTTAATAATCGTTGATGATCGTTCTCGTAGTCTGAAACTTTTTGCTTTAGATTTTCATTTGTCTCATTTAGCTCTTGATTAGATTTCAAAAACTCGTTTTGCTTATCCTTTAAGTCCTTATTTTCTAAACTAATTTTATTTTGCACCAACTTCAACTGTTCTAATTCAGAACTAATAGTCAAATTATCACTTCTTAATGTTGTCAATTGGCAGTTTTCAGATTTTAATGCGTCTGTTTCGTTCTCTAACGTTTTCAATTGCTCTGTCAATTTTGCGTTTAAATCTTTTAATTCGGCAATCTCGTCGCTCGACTGTTGAATCACGGAATCCTGTCGCTGTTTAACAGCCTTTAAGCGTTTCAGTTGACCGAGTTTTGTCTGTATCGTATTTTTCAACGTTTCATTCGTTTCTGTAAGTTCACTAATTTCCTTTTCGTGGTTCTCGATTAACTTCGCATTATTTTCAGCCTCGGTTTGCAAATTATTTAGAGAACTCTCTTTATTTCGCAATTCCTCTGTTAAATTACTTATTTCGTTATCCCTATCGGATAAATATTCATTTAAAATCTTAACTTCTGATTGTAAGATGTTTATTTCCTGTTCTAAGTTACTACAATCAACACTTTCCGATTTTAATTTTTCAAGTGCTTCTGTCGTTTCCGTATATTTTTGTATGAACTCTTCCAATCTGTTCTTGGTACCGTGTGTTTCTTCAAGCTGCTGTTTCAAGTCACCTATTTCAGTTAAAAGTAATTCATTCCTTGCGTTAACGTCGTTGAGTTCATGTTTCAAAGCGTTCGATTCCATTGTTAAAGATTTCACTTGGTCGGACAAATTTGTCACATCGTACAGTTTAAAATTTAGATTATCAATCTCTGCTATAAGTTTACAATTTTTTGCATCCACTTCATCCTGCTTTTCCAGTTTCGTAGACATTTCTTTTAATCGTCGAGTAGATTTTTCCAATTCCGCTTCCAAGTTAGATTTAAGGCATTCAGTATCTCTCAATTCAATTTGTAATTGATGATACCTTTGCTTGAGCTCTTCGAATTCTTCTAATTTATTCTGTAAATCTTGCGTTTCATTATTCTTTCTAACACTACTCGCCTTCATGAACGTATCAAATCCATTTTTCAAGATAGAAATGTCATTATTAAGTTCCGTAAAATGTTCCATCGCATTACTTTTAATGAAAACGTTATCTTCCTTCAACTTACGGGCAGAAGTTTTGTAATAAAAAATACTTTTAATCAAATTATTCTTCTCTTCGCGAAGTGTACTGATGACAGAACTATCGGCTTGAAGTTTGTTTTTAAGATCAGAAATAATACTTTTACAAGATTGCAGTTCAGTTTGTAATCCTAATAATTCAGTGTTTTTATTCTCTAGCTCATTATGTAATTTAATTATTTTCGTATTGTCTTGCACCTTTTCCTTCAGACCTTTCATTTCCGCCTCTTGAACCAATAATTTCTCTTTCGCGTTTTCAAGTGCTGCCGCGTATTCGTGCACTTTCGCGCTATAACTTTCGCAGACCTTATCCCTATCGATTAAAGCGTTTCTCATATTTTCTAATTCTTTATCAAGGCTCTGTATAGTGGCTTGTAATTTTTGAACTGTAGTCTCCGCTTCCTTCGTCCTCTCCTCCGCAATAATCCTCTGTGCCTCCTGTTCACTCTGGAGTTCCGCGTATTTCATCTTACAATTTGAGAGTTCCATCGACGCCTTATCTTTATCAGTTTGATGTCCTTTAACAAGTTTCTGTAATTCGTCTAATTTAATCTTCGTTTCTTGAAGTTCAATCTCTTTCTCATCTAACTTACACTTTAAATTTTGATACATTTCATTATCATACGCTTTTGTACTATTTTCTGTATTCTCTTTATTAGAATCGTGATTTTCATCGTGAGATTTTGAACTCACTTTATCTTCTGCGCTGGTTAGTTTCTGTTGTAATTCTTGTTGCACAGGCTTCGCAACATTTTCATCTCTTTCGACGTCCACGTTATGAATGCTTCGTGCTGATTTCAATCTCTCTAATTCGATTTTATATTTATTGACGGTCTCACTCAGACTTTCCTTGGATTCAGTTACATGCTTCAAATCTAATTGCAGCTTCTTAATTTGTTCCTCCTTATCTTCTAATTCCCGATGTATCGAAAGTTTGTTTTCAGCCAGCGATATTACAGACTCTTCCTCCCGTTTCTTTAATATGATCACCTGATCTGTTAAATTCGTAATTTCTGCATGCGCATTGTTTAAATCTCTTTCTTTCTCCGTATAAGAATCTTTGAGTGTCTTGTATTCAGACTCCAATGCGTTCTTCTCCGCTAATAATTCGGTGAATTTGTCTTTGTTTCGCTTCAAGGATTCTTTGTATTTAAGAATAACATTTTCTAATTTCTTTAATTTATCTTTTAACTGCACATTTTCAAATAACAGAGGATTCTCATCGGTATTAACTGGTGATTCGGTGTTTAGGTCGATAAGATTCTCTTTCAAACTTTCCTTGTCAATATCAGACACCACAGTATGTAAATTTGGTCCATTTTGTAGAAGCTTGATCTGCAATTAAGAATCAATAACAACGAACGTTCAAACTCGATTTTAAACTTTCAAGACATTACCTTCGTGTTCAATGTATTTATTATATGATCTTTTTCCTCGATGTCGTTCCTCAGTGCCTCTTCCAAATGCGCTTTTGCTTGCTGCTCCAATTGGCATTGTTCCTTCAAATCAGCTATTCTCCTTAATACTTTATCTTGAGTTTCAACTAGCACCGACTCCAGTTTCGCTTTTACTCTCTCCAGTTCTCTGTAATGCGTTGCCAGGTCTGTGTATCTACCACGATACTTGTGATACTTTGCCTGCACTTTACGATACGCAGAATATATCTGATCCTTTGAAACTTTATCCAATTGTGAGCTTATATTTTCATCTATTTCACTAGCTGATTGATCTATATCAGACTGCAAAGGAAATTCGCATGATTTCTAATGTTTCAAACATAATTATTCCTGAATATCTTATAGTACCTGTAAATGATATAAATTGTCAGGGGTCTCATAAGTTGGGAAAAGAGATGATGTATCACTTGCAATGCTGCTAACAGACGATCTTCTAGACATGTCCATGGAATTTGACGTAGGTGATATCAGGTCAACATTTTGAAAACCATGTTTAGCAGGACTATTCTTTGGAGTCTCTGTAAACACGTATTCTCAGTACCTTCAAAATCTGTTAAGATATTGAGAACTTACCATCTCCTTCTTCCGTCAAACTAAAGTTCTCATTAGATGCAGACAATTCCTGCACTGAACTATTTGATAAAGCTGGAGATACGACTGCCTAAATTAAACGAATCCATTAATATAAAGAATATAGAAGCAAATTGGGTTTTAAGCCATCGTTCCCTTATATAGTTTCAAGAATATGAATGGAATTTATGTTTTAATTCAAGTGAAGTGTCAAACCTGTGCCAGTTGTTGCATGCTCGCCTGCAGCCTGGCAGGCGACTGTTTCATTTCCTCTGCGAGTTTGTCTTTGAACTTTTTGAACATGATGACGGAATTTCACGATATTACCCCGGGATCTTATTAAATTACACAAATCTCCATAGACGTGTTTACTTGGAATCAGGTTGGCATGTAAGACGATGAGAGTTTGAACGTATCTGAAGCATTATTCTGCGTCGTTCGTAGGTGCAATGTGAAAATGTAACGAAATCATTTGATTATCGATCTGATATCCTTTAATTCCTTACGATAATACTTTTTTTATTGCGATACCAAGTGTTTTGCGTGAGAACCATGTATACGTAGGCTACGTAGGCAGAGTTACTGTCATTGATATCGATGTTAGCAGATTGTTATCCTATGCGTAATCAGAGCGATGAGGTCAGATGAAGTGTAATTTATTGAACTATTAAAAGCTATTCATAAAACATTAATAAAATGAGGGATTTTCATTCAATATGATTCTGGTATTGTGCCCGCTTAGATTTATTTAAGAAAGTAAGAATCAGACAAAGTTAAAAGATGTATACTTGTTTGCTATTCACTGAACACTCGGTAGATGGTACATCCATAGTAGATCCCCCAAACGCGTGCAGTATATAGTTTGTATCAGTCTGCAATGTCTGCATGGATTGTATGTACGAAGCGTGTGAAGTGCGGAGGTGGAATACTGCCGCTTCACATAATTTAATTCACAAAGAAATATAAATAATTGTGCATCGAGTTTTAAACGATTTTAATTTCAATGATTTGATCGAGAAACTTCGTCTAGTTGAAAAGAATGGTACGAGATTACTTCAAGATAAAGTACTTCATAAACGATTCAATAACCTGCTTCGTTAGTTTATTTCCTTGCTCAGAAATTTGTTTCAACTGATTTTCATCACTTACAACTGAAATTGAGTTCGTTTTGGTGCATACATATATATATTAGAAATCAAATTGATCGAGGATTCACAAGACATTTGAAGTTCTCTTTATTTCTTAAGAAAATAGGAAATAATTTTCACGTCATACATAAATTCATTTTTTAATTTTGTAGGCTTCGAATGATGGTATACCTCCATCTGCTGCGGTACCTGGGTTTCCACCAGCAACTCCAAATATTGCTTCCACTTTTGTCCCACCGATTATGCCTGCTGCACCGTTCATACCACCTCCTAGTTTGCCACCTGGACCACCAGGCATAATGCCACCACAGTTCTCCATACCTCCTCCTGGATTTAGTTTTCCAATTAACGCTGCTCCTCCACCTGATGCTGGAGTAATAGGTTAATATATCTGTTTAAGACTAGCAGTAGATTTTCATGGAACAGTACGATTGATTTAGATGTTGTATTTTAGCTGCACCTCCTCAAATAACAGCTCCAGGTATTCCTCCTCCAGTACCCATTGTAACTGAAGCCACGTCAACCATTCAACCCATCGCAACATCGACGGAAAAGAAGACAGAATGGACAGAGCACAAAGCCCCTGATGGAAGAACGTACTATTACAATAGCGTTACAAAGCAATCGTTGTGGGAAAAGCCAGATGAGTTGAAAACACCCAGCGAACTACTTTTGTCGCAGTGTCCATGGAAGGAGTACAAGTCAGAGAATGGAAAAGTCTATTATCATAACGTAACGACCAAGGAATCCAGATGGACTATTCCTTCAGAGTTAGAGGAGTTGAAAGCAAGAATCACGGCTGAAGAGGCTGCAGCCGCAGCCGCGGCAGCCGTTGCGAGTGCCACAAATACGTTAGTATAACTTGGAACGAATCTCGTTTACGATGGACTAAAAGAATTATTAATATTCTATTTCTTCAGTATAGTTCCTGCAACTATGCAGCACTTATCTCCGAATATTGGAATCGCGAATACGTCGCAAACCAGCACACCGGAGCCAGGTGGGAAGTCTGCAATTGAGCAAGCTATGGCTGCAACGCTTGCAGCTATAAATATTCCTACTCCGCCGGCGAAACCGGACGAGGACAGCAATTCCGCGAAAGGATCGGCGAACGACAGCCGCACTAGTACCCCTGAGCCGAAAATGCAATTCAAGGATAAGAAAGAAGCGATCGAAGCATTCAAGGAATTGTTAAGGGAAAGGGACGTACCGTCGAATGCTACTTGGGAGCAAGCGGTGAAATTAATTCAGAGCGATCCGAGGTATCCGCAAATGAAAAAGTTGAATGAACGTAAGCAAGCGTTTAACGCGTACAAGACTCAGAAACTCAAAGAGGAACGGGAACAAGAGAGATTACGGTAAGTAGTGCAAATGTTAAGGGGAAAACGGGAGTAAAACGCAGATTGTATTGTTATATAATTTTTGCAACAGATTGAAAAAGGCCAAAGAAGATTTGGAACAATTTTTACTGGAACACGAGAGGATGACGAGTTCTACCAAGTATTATAAGTGTGAGGAGATGTTCGGTAATTTGGAGGTGTGGAGGGCTGTCGGGGATTCAGATCGCCGGGACATTTACGAGGACGTAATTTTCAATCTGGCCAAACGGGAAAAGGAAGAAGCGAAGCAGTTGAAAAAGAGAAATACCAAGAGGCTAGCCCAAGTATTAGATGCCATGACTGACGTTACGTATAGAACCACTTGGCAAGAAGCGCAAGCGTTGCTTTTACAGCACGCAGCCTTCGCGGAAGACGCAGACTTATTGGAAATGGATAAAGAAGACGCTTTGCTCGTTTTTGAAAATCATATACGTCAACTGGAAAAAGACGAGGAGGAAGAGAAGGAGCATGAAAAAAAACGTAGGAAACGGCAAGAACGGAAGAATAGAGATGCTTTTATAGTAGGTTTCACGATATTTCGTAATTTTTCAATCGTACGTTCGTTTTTCAATGTCGATAATTATCTTCCAGAGTTTATTAGACGAGTTGCATGAACAAGGGAAATTGACGTCGATGTCACTTTGGGTAGAACTGTATCCGATGTTGTCTGCCGATTTAAGATTTTCGGCAATGCTCGGTCAGTCCGGATCGACCCCTCTAGATCTATTTAAATTTTATGTCGAAGACTTGAAATCTAGATTCCACGACGAGAAAAAGATCATAAGGGAAATCTTAAAAGATAAGAATTTCGAAGTACAAGTAAATACGACCTTCGAGGAATTCGCTACTGTCGTCTGCGAAGATCGAAAGTCAGCGACGTTAGACGCGGGCAATGTAAAATTAACGTACAATTTGTTACTCGAAAAAGCTGAAGCGCGAGAGAAGGAACGCGTGAAAGAGGAGGCTAGGAAGTTCAAGAAGTTGGAAACGGGTTTCAAAACTCTGCTAAAAACCCTGAACGTTGATTATCAAATGACGTGGGAAGATGTAAGGAGTAAGATTGAGGAAGAGCCAGATTTCAAAGCTATAACACTAGAAAGCGAGAGAGTTCGAATATTCAAAGAATACCAGCACGAAATTGAGGAAAGTTGTAGCCACCATCACATTCGCAGTAAAAAGAAAAAGACGAAGAAGGTGAAACGAAAATCCCGGTCTAGATCGCACAGTGTAAGTATATTACATAAAGTAGAGATATGAATATTTCTAGTAATATAAGAATTGTTCATTAGGAATCTGAGGGCAGCGATAAAGGTCTGAAGAAGAAGAGACACAAGTCACGGTCACCAAGCGTTCCCAGCAAATCTGATAGTTCCGAGTCTGACATCAGGAAATCGAAGCGAAAGAAAAACAAAAAGAAGAGAGGTCGCAGTCATTCCGTAAGTGAAATTAGTCATACAGTAAAGTTAATAATGAAGTTCTTTAGACGAAAGTGTACGAGACAACGATCTTTTTATGTTCAGCGGTCACATTCGAGACTTCCGTCCTCTGAAGAATCGCCGGAGAGGAAACGTAAAGAAGAAAAGCACAGAAGAGCTTCCGCCCATAGCGAAGGGTCTGTTACCGAAAATGCTGAGCACCATGAACTGTCAGAGGATGAACTTGAAAAACAAAGGGCGCAGCTATTGCGCGAATTGCAAATGCAACAAGAGGATAATTAACTCAACAACTTATGTAATTTTAGATAATTGCAATATTAAATTAAACGAAATTTGTACAATTTGAATGATCCCCTCACTTCATTTATGTACGAATAAGATGCATTTACAATTTGTGTTAGTCGAAAGCAAGGGGAATAAAAGAAGGTAAGAAAGTTATCAAGAATTTTTATAATATGAGTTCAGACCTCGCTATCAGTCAACAATTTTCATATAATCTATAAAAATGATGGAGCGGTAACGAATTTTTCACGAAAGATGCGGTGAATGCGTCGTCATTTTTATATATTTCGCAAATCAATCGACGCCTTACTTTTCGCAATCTTCATACGGCCCTGTTTCGTAGTCGAATTGACGGAGGGTGGGTTGGCCAGGTGGGGAGAGGTTTGGTTCGGCTCACTATTTGCTCGATGGTTGCCACTGTCTACTTTCGTAGTTTCAATAGTCTGGTATTCCGATCAGTCACTTCGACTGATTATCGTGGCCAAGGATTACTGTCAGTGTCCTGAGTCTCGTGCTACAAACGCGAGCGAGTATTTATGTGAAAATTGATCGAATTAACCGAACGAACTAACGACGGAGCGATGTTGAGCCTTTGCCGTCAAGCGTTAATATCTAACAGTCAAAAGTAAGTAGACGAACGGCCGAAACTTCTTGGCGAGGCATCTGCATCGAACGTTAGAACCGACGTGTCTAACTTCAGTGTTTTGTTTCTTCACCGCTCATAATTAGCCCGACTATCATGATATATTGATTATTTTAGCGCATTGACACAGGCACCATGTAACAACAGTCGCATACACGTAAGAACACCGCGTGTACGTAGACGTCAGTTTATTCGTGTATCATTGGTCCTCCGTTAGGCTCTCTTTCTCCGATCTTTGGTCACGTTAATACTTGCTTCCTCGTCTACGAAAAGGATAGACTACTTTGCGGGACCATAGGAATTTTCCACTTTAAAACGGATGTGAAAGGTGTTTTTTTTTTATGAATAACATCCTTTGACAATCCGATGCGACCTGTCTTTGCGGTTTTTTCTTTGTACGTTGCCAGGACGGTTTTCGTTCTAAATACATATTAAACTACCTATCTTTTGCCAAATTTAACAATTGCCCGATCGCTGTTGTGCGTATGAATACATAACTGGGATGCACAAACCAATTTTTACAGTTCATACAAACATATTTCATAATTCCAGTAACCGGCAATGTGCCATGTCATTAATATGTAATTCGTGCGTCAGTTCTGATTATTTTGTTAAATAATCCCGAATATTTATGTAGAAATATTCTTGCCTCACGTTAAACCATATTTGTACCAAGATATGGTCATCTTCGAATTAATATTTTCTACTTACGGTCCATTCGACCTTGAAACATATTTTTACGTACCAATAAACATGTATAAAATATGTAGCACGTGCGTTTCGCCGTCTGTTCGCAAATGTATAATTTACACAATGGAATATTTTGGCATTTATTTCGTTCTATTTCAAAATTTCGCGTATCAATTTGTAACAACAAAAGGAGACGAAATATCCTATGAATTAAAAGGAAGGTCCCTGTTATCGCGGATGGATGTCTATTTTTCGCACTTTAACTGGCATAACTTATTCGTATCGTTTAAATAACATTTATTATGTTAACGATGCAATTTCAGTCAGAATATATTACATAGTTGACTGATTTTCGAGTAATTAGCGTGATAACCGTAATAGTTAGGTTCCTTGAGATTTCATTAGACACGTATGACACGTATAAGCAAGTTTAAAATAACATCTTTTTTACCTCAAAATAATTTCGCTCCTCATTTTATTTACGCAAGTTATTCTGGGCGTCCTATAACGCGAATTTCAGATAGAACGAACGATACGCAACGTCTGCCTCAGATAAAATAATTTATATTTATTTTTTGTACACTAATTAAGATTCACGTATCTCTGTTTCAATTCCTGGGATCATTTCTTTATTGAAATTTAATACCAAAGTTGCATTATGTACTTAAGCAGATAACAGAGATTTACTTGTTACTTGTCACGTCTACAGATAAATATATACAGAAGCTAAAGATAAGCTCGAATGCTAACATGTGCTTTCTTAATCTTATACATCAGTCAATATGAACGTAAATCCATTCTCAAATATTACAATGTAACTGTTTCGACCATTAGAAGTCAACATGCCTTTTGTATCTTTCACAAACAGAATTAGTACAAGATGCTTTGGGAGTATAATGCCAGTACCGAATCCTGTTGAATTCCCTCTGAAAAATGAGCCTATTCTTTTGTATAAAAAGGGCAGCCCGGAAAGGGCAGAGTTGGAGAAGACCTTGGATAAAATGGCCAACGAGTTGGAAGAGATACCCCTGGTTATTGGGAATGAAGAAATTAAAACTGACCTCGCCAAATATCAAGTTATGGTAAATTAAAAAGTACAATACTAAACAGTGTGACTTGGGAGCGTGATACTAATAATTATTATTCCAGCCACATAATCACAAGGCAAAGATTGCCAAGTACTACTGGGCAACACCCGAGTTAATCAGAAAGGCGATAGACGTTGCTGTAAAGACTCAACGCGAATGGGAGAAACGTCCTTTTGAGGAACGTTTAGAAATCTGGTTGAGGGCAGCTGACCTTATGGCGACCAAGTACAGGCAGAATCTGAACGCCGCCACGATGCTTGGCCAGGGAAAAACTGTTATTCAAGCGGAGATCGATAGTGCGGCAGAGCTAATCGATTTCTTCCGAATGCACGCATATTTCGCCCAGGATGCGCTGAAATATAAACCGATCTCGCCGGAGCCGGCAGAAACGTTAAACTCGTTGAGGTACAGAGGAATGGACGGTTTCGTTGCAGCCGTATCACCATTCAACTTTACTGCCATTGGTGGTAATCTTAGCTATACCCCTGCTCTAATGGTTTGCATTTCTTTTTATTGTTTTCACTGTGTGCTTAGTTGTAACGGAATAAATATTTAACGTTCGGTGGAAGTACATACAAAATCTTGAACATTTCCAGGGCAACGCAGTATTGTGGAAACCATCTGATACAGCTTTACTTTCGAACTGGTGGATATTTAAGATCTGTAAGGAAGCCGGCGTGCCACCAGGCGTGGTAAATTTCGTTCCGTGCGAAGGCCCCGTCTTCGGCGACAATATAACTGCTTCACCTTATTTATCTGGAATTAACTTCACTGGATCGGTGCCGACGTTTAATCGTCTGTGGACGCAAGTGGGTCAGAATTTAACGAAATACAAGAATTATCCGAAATTAATAGGTGAATGCGGCGGGAAGAATTATCACTTTGTACATCCGAGCGCCGACGTAGGTTCGGTTGTCAACGGTACCATAAAGAGCTCTTTTGAATTCAATGGTCAAAAGTGTTCAGCTTGTAGCAGAATGTATGTACCAGAATCCCTGTGGCCTAAGGTAAGTCTCTTATACTGGCTCAATATTCATGTTTCGAATGAAACGGAACTTTTTAATATCCAATGTTACTTTGTACAGATAAAGGAGGGTCTCTTATCGATCCGCGACACTCTTAAAATCGGTGACATTAGAGATTTCACCATGTTCACTGGAGCTGTAATAGACGCTAATGCATTTAAGAGAATCTCCGGTTACATCGAACACGCCAAGAAATCGCCCAATTTAGAAATTATCGGTGGTGGAAAATATGACAATTCGTACGTAATATTTCATAGTTTAATCCAGCATTTCTCATATTTATGTGGTACAAAAAAGTTTGAGAAGCTCTGGTTTAATCAATAACATTGTTAATTAATTCTAATCTATTCATTTTTTTATGTGTCAGGCGTGGTTACTTTATTGATCCGACGATAGTCGTTTCGAAGGATCCGAAAGATAAAATAATGACCGAGGAAATATTCGGGCCTGTCCTATCTATATACGTTTATAAAGATTCAACCCTCAACGAAACGATGAAATTAGTGGAGTCTTCAACGCCGTACGCTTTAACTGGATCGATATTTGCACAAGATGAGTAAGTATTAAAAATAGAAAATAAAACCAGGATTGCAGACTTTTTAATTGCAGCATTTTTTTTAACGATTAACAATTAAATTTCTCGTAATTGAAGTGTTCTTTAAAATTCAATCATTGATTCGAATTTCTTCCAATTACGATAATTGAACATTTTTGATCCTTAATTAGTCTAAATCGATTCAGAAACCATACGTTAATCACTAGATTGCCGATTTTTATGCGAAATAAAATGTTTGAAACAGAGAATTGAAGAATGAAATTTGGATATGCCTCAAATATATAGGATTCATTCACTTTGCTGACAACATTTTATATGAATGAACTGATAAAAATTCAGTACCTTTTATAGATGCATAAAAATCCGGTCTATTATTAATTGCCAATTGAATTGAAGGTTTAACCATTCATCTGCAACCCTGAATTAAACATACACTTGGGCTCCTAATATTATGTTCGACTCCGTTTCAGGCAATGGGCAAGAAAAGCATTGGAGGAGTTCAAATACACAGCCGGTAATTTCTACGTTAACGACAAATCGACGGGGTCAGTTGTCGGCCAGCAGCCGTTCGGCGGTGGTCGTATGTCCGGCACAAATGATAAAGCCGGCGGTCCTCATTACGCTCTCCGTTGGGCATCGCCACAGTCCGTCAAAGAAACATTCGTTCCTTTACGCGAATACGATTATGCGTACATGAGATCTTAGATGTAAGTACGTATTGTCAACAGCTTACAGTAAACGCGGAAAGATAACGCATATCGATCCAAAACTACAAAATTGAAACATACAAATTTTCTTGGTGGATCAGTCAAGTGAAAATATCGTTTCATGCATTCCTTTCTGTGGAATCATTTGAATTTTTTGCGCGAGGCGCCATTTACACTCACGATGCAAGTGGCATAGGCTTTGTAGAACTCCGTACTATAAAGCGAACTGCTTATACACGAAATAAATCACTTCATCAAAATAGCCGATTCTTAAACAGCATTCAGTGAAATTGGTACCTTCACGTACCAGTTAAATAGCATTTTTTCTCTCTTCGGTTTTTTTCTTTTTAAATAAATATATGGTCATTAGATAGCATGCGAGGAAGAGAGACGAACACGGAAATAAACTAACATCCGCGAAACTACTTTCGAGGTGGTGTTGATTTAAACAGAATGTTTGCTGCCGATAGATAAATCTAATGTTCTGTGAGTCGCAGCGCGATCGATTCTGCAACTATTGATAAATCTGGTTTAACTACAAATAACAATTTCATATCTCAGGAATTACTACACGTGTTCCCAGACGAAGTGGCATTTCTTTTTATCGTGCATTGCAATGATACGTGAAATTTTATAACGAATATATTAATCAGTATATGATGATCCAGCCGCATAAAATCCGAGGGTGTGCTTGGAGTAAAAGAGGAAGAAAAAGGAAAATACGTTGTGATGAATGCGTCGTACTAGTTAGAAGAAGATGTGTTTCTCTAACCTCCATTTTTTATATTCTTATATAGATCGTTTACAATGGCTGATGTTACGTTATAAACGCGCAGCATGATCATCCGTTTTACTGTGTAACTCATTCAGACAATATGTAGACGCGGGACAAACGTCGATCGTTCAGGTGTGTTAATTGTTAACAGTGTGATTGATACAAAGCGTCTTGGAAGTCGAACGATTATTACTAATTAAATATACAGTAATATGTTAGATGTTGTGGCTGATGTTATGATGTAATTTATTTTAAGTGTACCATAGCAATAAAACCCTATACAATTAGATACTGTTACGTGATTGTGAATTTCTCAACTGATTCGTTTGGCTGGAATTCAGGGTTCCGATAATTAGAAATCATCGTGTCACGATTGATCGCCGAATAATAATTCATCGACGGAAATACTTATCGCAACGGATAAGTGTACACTTTTGTACTGGCAGTTATCCTGCAACGATAATGCTGACAATAATCTCGCGTTCTCATACCTTTCCGCTTGTACGTGGTACGATTTCTGATTTTAGATAGAAATGTACGGTATTATTGCAAAAGTATTATTTAAACTGTCTAGCCAAATATCTGAGCAAATATTTGTGTTGCGCGTTCACAGAGGCCGTAATGCGATTAAGCAGCAGCGATCGATTTTTTTTAATTCTACTATTGCAAATAGAAATGCTCAATAAAAGTATTTGTCAAAACTTTTATCAAAATATTGTTAATACATGCTTCATAAAATTTGGATAATCACAATTACTTTTTTATCCCCTATTTCATCTTATCTATTTTTGGAAGGAAGGATCATGTGCAGATTCTGGAAACCACTGAAGGATGGAAGGAATTTCAGGGATATTAAATTTAAGTATATTTATCATAACGTCTTTTTATTTAATATCTTTTAATTTTTATTACATTTTGAAAGGAATATCAATCCCTACTTATTTATCCTTAAATAATGTCACAACAGAAGATAATGGGGAGAGACATTTCGTCTCACTGGTAACAGGAAAACTTAAACGCAAGGTCGGTTCCGCGTTTATGCATGTAACAATGCTTACCTTGAGGGTCAAGCGACTTTTCTAAAAGGTGTCGGTAAAATTTTGACATTTTTTGTTTAAATTTTGACATATTATAATGCTCATATTACTAAATATCAGCATATTCTAATTCAATAATGACTAGAGAATAATGACTTGAGATTTGACTTTCCTCTTTCTGAAGAGGTACTTGACGACCGAAAAATATTCTCATATAAAAGTGAAAAGTGTATTCCCATAAACCCTTGGCTAATTTTGTGGATAACATTGACATTCTGCGTTATCGCGTCACTATCGGAGTCTAACTCCTTAAGCAAATTCTGTATTTTTTTCGGTACAATTTTGCACCATTAGCTCGACAACAAATTGGCTGCCTCTTTCCTTCTGCATCTTAATCGTGCCATTTGCATTTTTCGCAGTTCCTCATTTCCCTTCTCCAGGCCCGACGTGCCTTCCGCTCGACTCCTTTCACGTAACATTCTTTTTTTCGCCCCTCCCTTCTTTCTCTTCGCCTTCTCGTTTTCTTTCTTCACGGCACCATCGATGGTACCGCTTTGACGAGTCCTGGAACGGGGTTGACACTGGAAGACACCGACGGAAGAAGAGGGATTCTCGATGGCTTAGGAGGAATCGCCGTTAATGGCTTTGCCGAAGGATTTCCTGCCGTTCTCCCAGTGCTTTTTTACGAGTTTCCCGGGCGCGCCGATCTAAAGCGCTCACTCAAATCAAGATTCTCACCTTTTCAACGGCAGATGAGGCGGATGGCCAACCGTGTCCCTTCGCTACGACGCCGTTTTTTCTTCATCCATCTTTCGCCGCTTCTCGATCCACCGTCCCTTCCTCGCCTTTTTCCGAGTTAAGTCCTTTCAGGACCTCAGTTTCTTTCGGCCTGGCCAAACGACTTGTTTTCTTTTCCTCTCGATCCCCGCACGCCGGCTCGTACCAGAGAATACACGGACCCTTCCTTCGTTAATCTGAAATTGACGCAATGATGATGGATGCCCGGTTACGAAATTAATCTCTTCGATATCTGGATCGGGGCAGTTCGTGCCTCGAATTTGAAGTAGTCACGCCCTATTGCCGTGAGATTACCGGACACTCGATGGCTGCCTTTTATCAAATTCGATTAACATAAATTTTCCAAGCGTAAGACTCAAAATATCATTGGTAGAACAAGGATTAGTTAATTTCCATAGTGCATGTTATTTCTGGTTGTTCTAGAATGGAAACAGGTTTTGTAATCATGGTATATGAGCGTAGGTGATCGAGGAACAGCCGGGTAATTATCTGGATAACATAGTTCTCGGTAAGACGTTCCGATTGAATAAAGAAAAAGCGCCTCGAGCACCGGTACCAGCTCCCGTACGACGTTTATGCCCGGCTCTCACGCAATATTAATTCTAGAGGTACGATCTTTAGCCATTCCCATCCTATTGTTTCATACACGAAATAGAATTACCGCTCCTTCCGTCTATTGCTGCTTCGCACGGTTCCCTACTTAATTTCCCCTTATCTTGGATTTAAGTAAACAGCCACTCCTCTCGACGATAGAATTAATCTCTTCTCATTTACACCACTCGTTGGCCTCCTTGTCAAAAGATCGCAATATAAGTACAACATGTATACAGGGTGTCTCAGAAAAAGTGTTAGACTTGAAAAGGGATGATTCTGAAGACGTATCTGAACAACGATTTCCTTTGGCAAAATGCAAAATGAGGCATGGTTTTTGAATTATTAATGAAAAATGCTGACCAATGAGACCACACGTAGGATCCGCGCTTCATCCACGGATAGGTTGGTTCGAATCGTGACGCTCGGCCGTGGCTTAGCGCGGGCCCTACACGCGCTCTTATTAGTCAGTGTTTCTCGTTAATAATTTAAAAACCATGCCTCACTATGCATTTTGGCAATTTTTGGTTTTATCACTTTTTCTGGAACTCCCTGTATATCCGAGCCGCATGGTCGTTTTTCAATTCGGTGCGAAGAGGCGAATTTAGGTGAGAGGGAAAAAATGAAACGATACGCAAAGTTCAACAGTTCATCAGTGATCTTTCTCTGTAGAGCAAGTGATAAGGTAAGAAATTAATGGAAAAAGAAGAGGTGGAAAGACGCTGGATGGTCAAAAATTAATATCGTACACGTGAGAGTTCAGAGGTTTCGTATCACGTTTCCGACGCTCTCGCGTGTCGATATATTCCGGTGAAATTCAATAATATCCGAACAATTAAGGCGTGCTCGCGTAGCGTGGCAAGAACACGAGCCAAGCGACGGGACAAGAGTGTAGAGACAAGACGAAGGCGGGAGAGAGGGAGAAGTAGCAAAAGCGATACCCGGTAGTGGTGCTCGAGGGGTGGCGAGCGTTGGGTTTTAAAGGGTGGGAAGGATACAATATTTCAGAGTGGCGACAAGGAGCAAGCCTGCTTGCCACTGGCAAATTAATTAAATTCCTACAGACTGGCTGGAAAGGCTAAGGGGTTGGTCGGCGAACCGGGCAAGAGTCCTGTGTTCCAGCCCGTGGGAATATTGTAATTAAGATATGCACTTCCAGCCCTCCATTTTCCTCCGTTGCAGCCAGCCCCCCTCCTATCGCTAGCCGCGGCGGATGATTTACGCTCCGGAGGACGCGGTATTGTCTGTTTCGACCGTTTCTAAATTGCATCCTATTATGGCTCCGGCCTCGAGGTTGACGCGCCACCGAGATTCTGCTTCCTACGCTGGTTACCACTTCAAATTACTCCAGTCTGATTGACGCTTAACGCTTCTATTTATTGTATGCCGTCGTACGATGTATGAAAATAGGGTGCACGCGAAATAAAGGAGAGGGACGATGGGTTGGCTGGTTCGAGAAATGGGACGCACGGGTTCGCTGTTACGATTGTTGCTTCAAGCAGATATTGTTCGGAAAGAGAGCGAACAGAATGTATTCTGAATAGATCAGTGGTTCTTCACCTTTTCAGTATCACGGGTAGTTACAATTTTTTAAGTGTCCTGCAGGATACATAAAATAATGTTCATATTTTTAATATTGTATAATAAATAAAGTATATGACACTTTTACGTGTCAATCAATAGCGAATAACAATTAGCAAACAAAAGAAAAAACTGTCACAATCTTTTTAATGGGATATTTGAACCTGATGACTTTTACAAATTAGTTCAATAAAATAAGGTCATTGGTCGTCTTAGACTTTCATAGATTCTTCCACTAATATTTTTAATAATTTCTGTTAAACTGACTGTCCATTTGTATCGTCTAATGGTACGGTAATGAACAATAAAAATGAATAAACTGCAGTTTTGTGAAAGCTAAATCTTTTTGAATATCAATTTAAGAAACAATATTTAGTAACATAATGTAGATAATCGTCTAAACATGCATTTTGCTATTAATACTGTATCTCTTTTTGTCCATTATTTATATTTTTTACATACTTAATCAATTATATGCACAGAGCCTTGACCTGCACGAAATGGACGATTGTAAGAGCTGCGACAGGGGATGCTGGTATTAAATTGATTCGATGTAGGTGAATTATTAATCACTATTTGGAACGTCGTAATTATTGATTAAAAGCGAGCAAGGACAATTATAAGGTGAGCCGAAAATGGATGGAGGCCAAGGTTCGGTAGAATATTCCGCCCCGATCAATAAATAGACGCAATTCCTACGGAGCTATCCTGCGGGAGCTACTCCCTTCGTATCAAATCCGTCCTATCCATCACCGATTCCTATCCGGAACGTCCGCCGTCGACGAAACTCCCTTCTCCCTCCCCGAGACTCGCACACGATCACAGTGTATCCGTCATTAGTGAATGCTAATGTCATTGTCGCATCCGCACGTTGACCAGATCGAATCACATCTTCGGCCGCTGGAACGATATTCAGCTTCCAATACGGTTTAATCACAATCATGGATTATGCTGGAGAAAGTGTATTTGAAAAATTTATTCCCAATGAGAAGCTATGAGAACATTCGTCTCTATACACGGTGAACTGTAAAACGTAGCAGCTTCGGTTTCTTCTATACAGACAAAGCGACGTTAAAAAAGAAGAACACAGAAAAGGCGGAACGTAACCGTGAGAGACAAGTGGCCGTAATTCCGCGACAAACATCTCGCCACCTTTTACCCCAATCAGACGGTTCTCTGTCCGGTCTAATCGATCCCGTAGCATCCAGCAGCCGTTTGTGAACGGCCGCGTTCCACGAGCGTCGGATTCCTACCGGATCGAGAGTCATTCGTCCCGTAAACACGCCTGGACGAGGACAAATAGTATTTGCAAGGGGCCTCTATCTTCCTGGAGGATCTTCGATCCAGCTGATTCTTTTCTCGGCCGTTGATTACGGGACCGATAACAGTAGCTTCCCCTAGGAACGTAATCGACGACGTATCATCGTGGCACCGGTTCCGTCCGTCCGTCTCGGTGAATCTCTCGACGGTATCCGAGGCCCCGGTCGGCCTCACCACAAAGTGATCCAACGGATTAAGATATTCAATTTCGGGCTTGCTGGCTACCGAGTGCGACCCGGCCTTCTCCTCCTTCAGGAAGTCGAACAGTCCACCGGTGAGCATCTCCGCCACGTTCGTGCACGAGTCTAATAAATTCAGCTGCATCAGGTTCAACACCACCTCCCCCGGCGGGTATTTGTCGCCGTAATAATTTCGCAGGCAATGCCCGAACGTTTTGTATCGATACGAGCTGTACGTCCAGCCGATGTCTACTACGGGCAGCACTTGATCGGTTTTCACGAACGTAGACGAGTGTCTCGCGAGCTGAATCGCTCCCGGACTCGTCCCATTCTTCCCGGTCGCCTCCGTCGCCGTCCGATCGTGGATCGATGCTCCGACGTTGCCTGGCGGCGAGGACGAGATTCTCCTCAGGTTGGTCAACAATATCTTCGAATCGGAGTCGGCTGCGTTGAATACCGACGGCTCTACCGTGTAGTGTTGCAGAATGTTTGGCGACGAGGTTTTCTTGCTATCTTCCAACGGGGTGGACGCGTAGTAGTGGAAAATCGTGCATAGCTTCTTTGGGTCTGCCTGTATTGCGAAATGGTTTACTGTGACTCTAAGCACAGCCACTCGTTTTACCTCGGCAGTTTTGTGAAACTCATAGACATAAGAGAATAGACCTTCCAAACTTGGACAATTTTTTACATAAATTTCGTGATGTCATAATTTTTTTGAGTAGTACATATCCAAGGTTGACAGTATTCTTTTGTCAAAATTGATTCACGATCAACTTTGACTGTCGGTAATTCTCCATCTCTTTTGATTTGAATTTTTCAACAAAGGTCCACGTTTGATTCTTTCAAAGTTCTGAACGGTTTTTAATTGTTTTTTAATATCGATGTATTTTTGTTGATCCCGTAAAAGATAGACAAAACATATTTTGTAGGAGTTTCTCTTTCAAATACAGAAAGACAGAAATTCCTCTATTAATTTTCTTTCTCTGAATCGTTTGGCCTGAGGTCTCACATTTTCCACGCTCGGTCTTTTCTCATATGTGTATGGCGAAACTATTATATTAACCTCTATACTTGAATGAAAACATTCCTACGAGAAACTACGTTTCCTTTTTAATTCTTGAAAAATCAGTGGAAGCGCTCTAGTTTGAGTTACGTACGATTAGCATCTGCAGCTGAACGACGAGGGGAAGTACTAGAATCAGGGTGACGAAAAGGGCGCAGATACTCTCCATAATGAAACAGGGGAAATCTTCTTTCGTTTTATGAGCAGGCTAAAATCTCGACCGGTTTTTCAGGCCGAGATCCCTTCGTCGCAACGCGTTGATCAACGTCCACGGGATGCATGGTAAATTGTAATTTATTATTATACATAGGTCCGTCGAACACCGGGTGCCATCGGACACCCCCCGGCTCATATGGGTATCGATTCCCACGCTGCTCGATATGTGAAAAAAAAAAATCCGTCATTTGTTTATGGAAATGCAGTTCATTCGCGCGGTTGAATCAAAGCGGACTATTTTGTAACCTCCCTGGACGTTTGAGAACTTAATACGTGTCAACAGTGATGTTTCATTTCACGCAAGAATACATAAATCGTTTGACGATTTATTAAAAAACAAAAAATGGAACGCAGGGTACAACGGAGTGAAACGTGGAAATGGGAGGGAAAAAAAAAAGGTAACAGAAGTTGAAATTTTCATGAAAATTACTGAATGAATAACAGCGGCGTTCTGGGAAACATTATTGGAAAAGCGTGATCACGCGGCGGCGGGCCTCGTGGCATACGCGCGCAGAAATTTCATCGCATTTCCATGCGCGAGGGCGTCGAGTGAATTTTTTTGTCAGCGCGCAATGTATACACTATGCTAATCTGCCACGTTTTAATATCACTTTGAGGGACTAAACCGTGAAAGAACGGCTTCGGCCGCGGCCTTTATTCCGTCGGAAAAAGTCGCTATGTCATTTCGTTGTCTCTTTTTACATTTTCAGAGATATTCCAATTTTTCTCAATTCATTTTTAAAAGTCGTTGTGAATAACCAATTTTATGTATGATAATTGTGAAACTCGGGTCCACGCACCGTGTCGTTACGCCGTTTTTACTTTGGTCATTAGACCGCGGATTTTATCCATTTGCAGCAAAACTAGCATCCTTCGTCGTGGTCGCGCTAGTTATTGTATATGGAAGTGAAAATATATACAATAGAAATATTTCTTGAAGAAAAACGAAGTCGTTTAGTCATGGAACTTGAAAAATATTGGGGACATCATAAATTAACATTTTATGCTTTTTTATCCGCTTAGTTATCGAGGAAAAATTCTGAAATTGATTTTTAGATATATTCCTGTGCACGCAAACGAGACCTGTGAGTCATCAATAGCTTGCGGATTTTATGCATGTATAAGAAAACTGTACAAAATGTAAACGCTACACATAATATACAAAATTATAAGAAATATTAAAAGCAGACTACATATTGCAATGTTTAAATTGTGAAAGAATACACATTTTTTAAACTGGTATCATAAATATTTTTATTTTCCATGAAAATCCGCATTCTACTCATCAAACTTGAAAAATATTGAGGAATGTGTAAAACACGTTTCAATCCAGCAGAGCGTGAATTTCGAAAAATTCACAAATCGATTTTTAAGGAAGTTTTATTGGTAACAGAATTAACAATCGGATTTTTATAAAACTTGGTATGTTAACAGGTAAAGCTTTTAAAGTAAATT